TAAAGAAAATTCCCAATAGATATAAAATTTGCTAGATTTAAACGCGATTGCTAACAATCAACTGAAAATGCAAAATTGTGGACTTTATTTAATTGGTTTTTTTGAAAGTTCATTTATAGAAGTGTAATTATGATGTGGGTTAATAATTATTCACTAATTTCATCGATCAAGCTTTTTTCTTTGAGCGTAATTGCCGTAATTACATGTACGTAAGTACTTAATACCTATTGTGGTTACTACAGCAGCCTGCAGACATGGCGTCTTTTTTTAATCGTACCGACAAGCTATAGTGTGTACTGTGCACTATCAAGATTCAAGGTCCCAATTAATAACTATGATCCATTTTTAAATACTCACGTCTTACTGGTTACAAAGCGATTTATGCACAATCCGACACTCGGTTGTTGCCCTCTTTTTGTACTTAATGGTTAATGTGTACCTATATATTTTAATAAATTCTAGTACAGTATTATGATATGACTACTCACTAAAAATCAACCGACACACAGCGTAAATAATTTACCAAGGTTAGATTAGGTATTTAGATGTTTCAAATTTATCTAGGTATATACAAACACTTCTATATTGGGATTCATACGAGCCACTTTGATCTGTGGCGTAATTTTGTTATGTTTGTGACAGGAGAGGAATAAAATGTTCCTACATTTTACCTATTTCTCCCTCATGAGTCACGAAGGTGGCCATTAGTGCCGGATTTTCCGGGACGATACCGGTTTTAGGTTTAGAAGTCAATGTCCTGGCGTAGTTAATTTTTTTACGTTGTGATTATGTTGCCTAAAAGACTGTCATTTTATAATCAAAAGTTGCAAAATGATTTCCCGTTTATTAAAAAACTTTCTTTTGACAATTTCAATATTCAGTGAACAATTTGCCATTAATGTTTTTAGTTCTTATTATTATATATAATTTATAATTTTGGTGTTCTGGGTTTCTTAAAATTTAATTCGACCACCCTACTTTTGACCACTCAGTGTATTTTTGTACCATAATACAACATGATATATTAATATATATTATATTTGCGCAATGGAGTTTATTATACAAAGTTATATTATTTTGGTTATGTATAAGTGTATTATAGCTAGCATAGATAATTCGCGTTTTTTTTTTATTATATCTATATAACCACTGTAGTAGAGTTAGATAAGTGCATAATTATAGTGTATCAGTCTTTTAAAAAAAGATATGAGAGGATATGACACCCAAATCTCTTTTGGGAAATACTTGCACAATGAATAAAATATGACGTATAATGTAGAAAAATGGAACACAATAGGTATATTATATAATATTAAATATATAGCTATCAGCCAGATACTTAAATAATATACTATTTGTTATTTAAGTGTATTATTCCCCCATTTACCAACATTACCGTCATCGAAAATTGACTTATATCATGCGATCAAAAATAAAATAAAAATTTAGTTGCAAAAATATTATTTATTAATGTAAGAAAAGGAAGCTAAAATGTAAATTATGTTGAAGACTGCCGTCTAACACGAAAATAAGAAGATTAGGTATAAAATAATGTATACACTATACATACTATATACTAAATAGTAAGTATAAAATGGGCACAGTAAGTAAATAATGACAATACGTCAATACAAAATAATAGATAGTTATTAATTAAACTTAATTTTATAATTTCTAATCAGAAACTATTCTTCAATAATCTATTAAAAAATGTATTACGTTAGCCGATTAGTATCATTAGTCATTAGTGAAGAAAAAAAATAATATAAATATTCAAATACTTACAGCAATTATTTTTTATGTTTTAATAATAAAATATTAAATTGTTAAAATTTAGTCACTATATTGTTCATATTAACTCATATTAATAGGTATATTATATTCTATATACAAATGGTAAATACTAAAATGCTTTATAAGTTCATTAGCTACTTTATTCAGCGATATAATTTATATATTTTTATGCAAGCCACTAACACTGTATAAAATATATTCATTTTTCATACCAACCAATTTAATCAAAATAATATTAAATTTTAAAATTTCAAATACGCAAATAAGCATTTGCTTGCGTAGTTTAAATTACGCCACTGGTTTTATCCATTTATATTATATCTTGAGAAATGTGTGTATAAAAACATGTATCTAAAGAACAATGACAAAATCGATTAACCAAATTGTCTAGTTATTTATTTTATTCCTATTCTGGATTTACAAGTCACTGATTGCTCATGGTGAGGCCAGAGAAGTCTGTATATGTATATTCAGATGTACCGAAAATAAAACTCAATACTCAGTAGCAATTAAAAATTGTCTGTCCTATAATAAAAATAAATAATTTACCATAATTTAATGTGTAGACTGTCAGACACTTTAGAGAATAGTTTTTTTTTTCGATGTGGGTATTATAACGTCTTAGTTGAGCTTAACAATATAATGATTCGTAGGTACACGTCGTATATTCGTTCCATTATATTATACATCTGTATTACGATATTATCTTTAATTGTGTATGTAGTTACTGTAGTTAAACGTGTGGGTGTGTATGTGTGAGAGGGCCCGGTCCAACTACAACCCAACCTAACTCTGTCGTCAACGGCCGGTTATCCATTATATATTTTTTTAAATAAGTAGATATACAATTATTATAATTTATTTTTCTTCCATTGAGTTACAATTTTGAAATGACGATAAATGTTGAACTTGTATCTTTGTTTTATCGGTATAAACTATAAACGAGAATTTTATTATGATGTATGACATAATACACGACGTCATTATTAAAAAATTTAGAGCGCAACAATTTATTTAAAATACGTTGTGACAGACGACAGTATTTCTAGTTACCAGGTGTTTACTACAAGAAACAATTTGCTTTTTACCATTTAAAACAAATTACGCATGTTTTCGCTGTAACATACTGAATCTTTCCGATTAAAAATTGCCAGTAAAAATGAAAACAAAAAATAAATTGTAATTATCGCAAAAGAAACGAAATAGAAAAGTTTTTAAACTTTCAAAAGCTCAGCTAAGATTTGGAAAATCACGTCTCATAAACCGATGTTGCTATAATTGTCCTGTTACCCTTGGTATAGACATCAGATGGTCTGCCTAACATTATTGTTACTGCTTAAATCTCATTTTTTATAGAAGCAGCGGCAAACCTCGTTATTTTTTATACTTTCATATCGTAGTTTTTTTTAACATTATACTGGTTCGGTCAGTGGAGAGACATACCTCTGTATTTTGTCCAATGTACATACTATGCTATATATTATAACGACATACTATAATATTATTATTACTTAGGTAATGGTCGTTCATATTACCTACGCTTATCGTTTTGTTTTCATTGTCAATATAGAATATCAGATCAGTGACTATTTTTTCTAATCTGTACACCTTTTATACTTCTAACACACCAATATAGGTCTGAAAATAAATTGTTGTTGGCAATTTTCAATTTTTTTTTTTATATTGTGACTAAATAAACGAATGATTTTGACCTTGATTGTCTTTAAATCGTAAAATATTGTCTTTAAGATTATATATGCATAATATATTTATTAATACAATTAAAAATAAATGTCGCATCTGCATCTAGTAAGAGAAATCTCTTATTTATGATCTGGAGTAGGTACCTACTCGTTACTGCACTTTCAGTTAATGAACTGTATAATATATTAAAAAACGATGTTAGAATTTTATTGAATAGAAATGATTTTTTGTCCAGTACATTAAATGGGTAAACTCAAATAGGTATATTATAAGTTAATTATTAGGTATCATTAAACTATCGTGCAGTTTTATATTACTATTAAATACTTTTAAATTATTGAACAATTTATTCAGTAAACAATTTCATGCAAGTTTAATTTAAAAAGGTACTAAAGTTACGAGAAATACGATTTCTTTTGTATTAGTAACTTTGACTCGTGCAAATAATATGCACTTAAGTGAAATTCGATCAAATTAAAGATAACATATGACCTGCAGCTTGTGTTATTGTTATACCTGCTTTCCCCTATAATGCGTAGTACTCAAAAATGGTAAATAATTTTTTACATAATTAAACGTACGTAATAAATTCTGATTCAAAATAAATTTAATGAATAAAATACAAAACAAAACCAGAAAAACCTTTTATAATACCATAAATACAAAAAAACAAAAGAAAAAAATTATATATTTTTTTTTTAGTCAAATTTATGTGGACAATTATTTTATAAATGATTACGTACTCGTACTGATGGCTGTGCTAAGTTTATCAAGGTCCTACATTACCTACTGATCCACTCAACAATTTATGTATTATTAACTATTGTACAAAAGTAAAAATTATTTATTTAAATTTAGAACAGAATATGGAATGGGTGATATGGTCACTAAAGAGGTAATAATTTTAGAAAATGTAAAACAAACGTAATTAAACTAGAGATTGTCGCAACTATTTCAAATGGTCGCAGGTTTTTTCTTGTAAGTTATAATATTGTGACTTATTAGGCTCAAATCCTTACTAAACTTCGAGATGTGTAGTGTGCATGTTAAAAATATAATTAGTTGTTGTCACAGTTTTTACTATGAATAACTAAATAATTATTCAAAATAAAAATATGTGAATTGATGATTAAGAAGCCAATAGTATATATCTACGAGTTCTACGACCTAGCACCTACATACGAGTATGTTTCAATATAAATAAGATTAACCTTTCAGCAGGCGCGTATGCGCATTTTGAACAACAATTATACATTTTTTGACATAGCTTTTATCTAAGTATCCCGATTAATACTAGGGTTTTTCCTATTTCACAATAACGTAGATTTTATAAAAATTTAATAATTGTTATCTTATGTATTTCTCCAATTATTGTTGATGTATATTTCAGTCAACTCCGTCCAATCGCATAAAATACGTCTCGCGTCTGGTTGTGATATTATTTTATTATTTTTTATTATTATTGTTTTTTTTCGCGAAGGTAATGCTTTTTTCATCTCAGTATGATTGATATTGCATATTTATTACAAGAATTATCAGACGAAGTAGAAGACAAATTTGGAGATTTTGATAGTGACAATGATTTTAATGACGAAAATATCGATTACGATAACGTTGACACTGATAAAAATATATACTAATATACCTACCTATATAAATTCATAAAATATTATACAAATAAAAGTAAAATGTTTTCAAAAAATATTTGTATTAAAAATAACTGCTCGTGTAATACACAGTAGCGCACCTGCCAAAAGGTTAAAAGCAAAAAAATGTATTTCATCATTTTGTTAAATATTATTATTATTTGATTAAATTCTTTAATTTTCATTTTTTTTTTAAATTTAATTTATACTTTTTTTATGTAGCTAGTGTAGTGAGTAGTACCTATGTATTTTTAGACATTTTGGATAATAGATTTGTTACTTTGTCTGCAAAAAACAAAAAAAAAACAATAGATTTTGGACTTTTAGATATTGTATAGTAGATATAATAGCATTTTTTGTTGTACTTATCGTAATCGGTAATTGGAATAATTTTCAGTGACGTAGTAATCAGGGGAGATGATGGGGATAAATCCCTCAGAGTCTTAATTAAAGGATATACTCATATACCTACTTATTTCCATATCATATAAGCAAAATAAATAAAAGGTTATTTAATATGATGTCCCGGTTTGGTAATGGTCATTTTAAAATCTGGCAACTCTAAGCATGGCGTGGCGTGGTGTTTGGACTTTATATTTATCCAATAAATTACTTATTACCCCCCCCCCCCCCTACAAAACAAAATCATATAACTATGCCACTGAATTATTCCAATAATAACATAGTAGGAAAAAGCAGATATTATATCAACAGAAAGGTATTGAAGAGTAGATTTTCATATGGAAATGTTGCAAATATATTGTCCTTAAGGCAGATAAAATACGTAAATAATAATTCACTAATTTTACTGTGTTCGGTAAAATAAAATTATAAGCATTTAAAAATAAGTCGAAATTATGTAATACAATGTATGAAAATAATTTCCATGGTAACCAGAAATTTCTAGAATATAATCGTAATATCTAAAATTTGTAATATTTTACATATTATTATCAATAAAATTTACGCGTCATTTTACTTTTGCCGTGTATGCTTTCAAAACTGATGTCGGAACTTTGAAGTACAGCAACAATTATTGCATTTAAGCCTCGTAAGTGCATATCAATTTTATTTATGTGTGATCGATTAAACATTCAAACATTGATTTCTGTGAAAAAACTGTGAGAAAATGCGTTATCAAATATTAAATAACTACCTACGTAAAACATGATGTGGTGAGAAAGTGAAGGACAAAGATGATCATTACTTGCATCGTAGGATAGTAAATGAAATTGATAATACCTTTAGATATGCAATTAAATGTGTATTAAGTATAGTTCTAAGGAATTTTGATAGTTAAGAATTTATAATTGTGTCGATTATGATCTAATGAATTTAGCGTGTAGATTTCTAATGCTAATCATATTATTTTTTTCATTTTTAATTCAAACATGTAACAAAAACAAAATATACTGATGTCTCATGCTCATTTTAATTTTATAAATAAATTAAAAAATTTAAATTATTTGATTTTTTTTTTACATTTTGACCTCTGGATGATAAATAATCAATAGTAATACATTCATTATTTAATACATAATAGTATAATACAACTAAATGTTTAATATTTTAATGATGTTTGATATTGGCCAATGGCCATATTTACTTGAAATCATATTTTATTTTTATCGTGTGTAATTTCTGATGAAATATTGTTGTATTATAAGTAATTAATTTTACTATAGTAAAATAATAAACAAGAAATTGAAAATGTTTGGCATTTTTATCAAAAAACTTATAGGCCAAATAACTAAGAAAAAACAAATATATATTAACCATAAGTCAGTTTTAATTATAGAAAAAAAAAATTAATTTAATAATGTAATGAAAATCAGTATAAATGGATAGATATTTATTAATACTATTAAATTAATTAATTTGTTGTATGTTTTATGATAAAAACAGTTGAATATTATTTAAAAATTTAATTACAAGTTTAATATTTTAAAATACTGGCAAATTTAAAACAGTTTTTATGTAAACGCTACTCACAAAAATTATGTGTCTTGCGACATACAACTTTTAAAATCTTAGTCATCGATTTATTACAATGTTTATAATATACCAAGGTTATTTAATTGTAATTTATTAGTAAGATACATAGCCATAGGCATTAATAATTATCATAATCGATACATTTCACAGTTCAAAAATGTAATTAATTTTAATGAACAAATTTATATAAGTAACTAAATATTTAATTATTATTCTTATTATTGTATATAATTAATGTATTTATATTAATATTAACAGTTAAACAAATATACAATTATGTTATCAAACAACACATTAGACAATGCAGATTTAAAATCTAGATTAGCTCGCTTTGGCATAAATAATCCAATTACAAATACAACTAGAAATGTTCTGCTTAAGAAACTTTTAAAATTAGAAATGGATTCTCAAAACAAATGTAACAATCAATCAGATAAACTTGACTGTAAACAGTGTAAACCAATGGTAAATAAATTTCAAAATATATAATTTTTTTATTTTACTATTATACGCAATGGAATAATTAATATATATCTACGTATGTGTGAATACGACTTGGTAGTTTTGAAGAGGACGATACATTAAAACGAAAATTTATTAAAAAAACTGTCGAAATAACTTATTTGTGCCACAAATATTGATATTCTGTGTGAAAGGGCTATTATGCACAAACTATAAATTTAAGATTTGCTGTGAAATTATATATTTTAGATAATGTGTATTGTGTATATACACGAATTATAGAACTTATAATAATAGATATTTCCATTTGTAGATTTGGCTCAGTCATAAATGGAGGCCACTCCTCACATTAAATTGTGATTGTACTATAATATTGTTATGTATTACTAAAGTGCCTTTTTTAATTTATTAAAATTGACTTATGAATGATTGGTTTTTATAAAAATTGTTATTTTTTACGTATCTTTTGTTTACATCGTAGTTATTAATAAACAATTATTATAATGCATATAATATATCGTTAGGTTATTTCGTTATAAATTTTTGGTGAGTTTCATAGACATATTACATATGTTTAACAGTTTCCCTAGAACAGGCATGTCAATGTCAAAGTCAAACACGCGGCCCTCAGCTCATTTTTTTGTGGCCTACGGCTACTAATATGGGGAATGGTAAACTCCTACAAATGTAATGTAATCTCCTACAATGATATAGTGTTAACTCCTATAAAAGATGACAAAAAAGGATACCGCTCGTACTTCTATAATATAGCACAATTTAATGTAAAAATAGCACTCAACAGTAAGTGAACAGGATCGCCGAGCAAATCCTGTGAGTGGAAAAATATATTAATGAATTATATGAAATATGAATACATAATATTATAGTATATAACATGAATATAACTTAGCCTTTAAGGATCGTCATTCAGCGTATAAACACGCTCTATTCAAGTGTTTGTATTTTATATAGGTACTTATTATTTTCAAGTTATGATCATTTTTAACTTTTTGAGCTTTTCATCTCCAAAATCGTGAATTTAAATAATATTACTCTATTTTTTTTAGGTAAAAATGTTCATGTAGGAGATTACAGTATCTTTAATTTTCAGATAAAAATGTAAAAAGGTTATTGGTGTAAGAGCTTACATTTAATGATGATTCAGGTAAAAAGGTTATTCTTGTAGGAGTTTACATTTGGCTACTAATATTAATGAATAATAATAAAAAAAAGAAATAATAAATTATTAATTTCGTCTTACAATTATCTTGGATTCTTATATAATGGTTTATTTGGTATACATTATTATACTGTCTTAATTTCTGACAAGTTAACCTTTTTTAATTTAGTTGTATCTGCTATATTCATAAACGTAAAGAATAAAATTGAAAAATTTGTTTAAAATATTTATTTATTTATGTTAAATTTTTATGTGTGGTCTGCATAGTAAACTATTCAATATACTTGGCTCACTTGATACTTTGGGTTTGACATGTCTGCCTTAGAATGTAACGTACGGCAACCATATCTACACATCGTGGTTACTAGAGGCGACCGTATAATCTTATTCATCGATTAACTTTATAGTTTTCCTTGAATTTAGCGTACAACAGCTAAATATGTATATTTTGGTAACTGGTGCTAATTTAACTGCTCTTTGAATTTCTACTTGTAGGTTGAAGTCCTATATTTTCTAAGTTCAAACATTTGTGGATTATATAGCATTACCGATTTTCAACATAATTTATATTACATTTTTAATAGATTTAAAAGCAATTTTTTTTTATACCTACTTTATTTATATTTTTGAAACGTTTTATGAATGTTAAATAATTGTTGTTGGGAGGTGATAAGATGTATTGAAACCTTTAACGTTACGATTATGTAAATTTCTTTGCCGAACGATAATTAATTTTATTTAGTGGAGTTCCTTTCATATAATTCATTAAAATTCGAGTTTTGTTGTCAAAAAAGTGTCACGGTCAAATGATTTTCCAGACATTTAATTTTCTTAGCTGAAAAAATGAAAACGATATCAGACATGCACAAGTAAGCTGCCAACAAATAGCTGCCATCTATCAATTGGGTTAATCATACTCTAGTTTAGTTGTTTAAATATTTTTTTAGATTTTAGACATTTTTTTTATGGACAAAGTTTGAATTATACATGAATTACTTAAATCATAGTTTCGTTTACCATATTCAGGCATCTTTGCTTTTGTATTGCCTGTGGAATACAATTGATTACGATGATGACACATCCCGCGGGGTTTTAAGTATTTTACCGAGAAAATAATTTTGAGAAAATCTCTTTCTTGATAAATTAAGGAGGTTCTATTCCGTGATTGAATTATATAACACTGGGCACGGTTTTATGGGGGTATCGTGAGCAAATAGTTACCTAGCTAAAAATTGTTTTGACGATAATTTTATGTTCAAACGGTTTAATGTTTACTAACATGCTCCTATCACTGATCAACTTTATCTATACAGTTAAGTGTTTTTGATACCTACTCTAGATAATACATTTTAACTTTTTAATACAAAATATTTCTTTTGGATCGTTTTAACGATTACCTAATTAACTTTATAATATATTAATATTTTATATGCCGTATCAGTAAATAGTCAGCTAAACTATAAAAAATGTTTGCTTCGTTACCTCCACGGCTCCACGAAAACTCGCTTAAAGTGTGATAACTGATAAGAAATAATCATTTAGAACAAAATGTTCTCTTTCATTTTTAAAGTAATCGCCAATCGGTAAAATGTTTGAAAACAATAAAAACTCGTTCGTGATAAAATTCATAAAATTTAATTTTGATTTTTACTTTGAAGTTTGCTTATTGTTGTCACTGTACGGGTAATCGTATTACATAAAATAGATTGTTAAAATACAAATTGTATACAATTACGGCATACCAGTATTATATTCATGTGTAATTCCAGTTTATTTTGGACTACGTTTTATTGAATTTTTGTGTGGCAACATCGCTCTTTAAAAAGTAAGTTACTTTGACTTGAAAATTACAATTGAATGCTTGTCATTCAAACGTTTTGTCACTCAATAGCGATTTCAATGAAATCATAACATGTCAGTAATACATCCAACAATATTTAAATTTAAAATTCACAACGTTTATGAAGTTATGTTTGAATAATATTTAAATTTAATGAAATTACTAAACAATGTTGGAAATGGTATCTGGTGTAGGTATTTGTATATTTTTAATACCTAATTGAAACTGTATTTCTTATGATTGTTGACATATTTGTATTTCATTCATGTATCAGAATAATTCTTTTTGGCTTGATATAATATCCTGATCCTTTGGCTTGATGTTTCAAATTTTATGGAAATTAATATTTTGATTTTAATATTAATATTTTGATACAGAAGTGTTTTGGTACAATTATGTAGGGTGATCATTCGTTAAGTTATCTCTTAATTAAGCATCATGTTCCTTTGTTAAAAAAATTTTGAACAGGGATCTTTTTATCTATGTTTAGAAAATATTGTTGTTATTTACATATTATTATGTGTGCATTAAAGTAAAAACCTTTAAACAAAATAATTACAAAAGAACAGTTTTTTTTTATAATTAGTGTTAAGTGATAACTATGTGTTGTAAATCGTAGGCAATTGTACATTGTCAGCGATGAGTCATATCATATTGGCATATTGTACTGTGTAATAATTAGAAACCCTTAAAACTATTACCTAACCTTTCCAATGACATATTTTATTTAAGAAGTAAATAAAATCTCCATAGTATTTTTAGAAATTTAAAAATTATTCGCAATATTAAATTTTTATAGGTTTTTTTAAAGAATCCAAAATTATTTATTTAGTATTTTTTTATTTTAAATATAGTCACTCTACAATTTTATGGTTTATTGTTTTGAACTAATATGTGGTTTGATTACAAATGGGATTAAATGTTAAATTCAAACAAATTGTTCAATTTAATTTGGTTTGTAATAAATAATTTTTTTTGTATTCTTCCATTATCTAACTATAGTGTAATTTATATACTCAGAAATAAGTATTCATCATCAGAAATTTTTATATATTTTGATAATTGCAAAAATTCTAATTAATTTTAATGAATAAAGTTATGTAAGTAACTATATATTTAATTATTACTCTTATTATTGTATATAATTAATATATTTATATTAATTTTAACAGTTAAACAAATATACAATTATGTCATCAAGCAACACATTAGACGATGCAGATTTAAAATCTAGACTGGCTCGCTTTGGCATAAATAATCCAATTACAAATACAACTAGAAATGTTCTGCTTAAGAAACTTTTAAAATTAGAAATGGATTCTCAAAACAAATGTAACAATCAATCAGATACATTTAGTAGTGAATGTGAATTGATGGTAAATATATTTCAAAACAAATTACTATTATATAAAATAAAAAGTATATATTACTATATTAGATATTAATATAATATTTTATTTACAAATACAACTTAATAATTACTTTCTTTAATTAGTATTGATATCTTAAGTGCAAGTGATTTTATGTATAGTGGTACTGATGTGTATTTTATTTGATGGGGCAAAGAATAAAAATAAGTTACTACCATTATTTTAAAAATCAGTACCTTTATTTAAATTTTTATAATAGAGATGGGGCGAAATAATGACCAGTTCCATGATTATATTCTAAATTCAACAATCAAAAAACCACATATTTAGTATATTTGTAAGATTTACAATTTAGAATGTCATTTTATCCATTCACCTATTCTAGCAAGTAGCATTCAACCACTTGGTACCTTCCAACGTAATATTTATGCATCATCTAAAAGTTTAAGACCTGGTAAAAACAGAATATGTACTATATGTATAATAAATAATATTATTGATATAGATATTCTAGTTATAATCAAATTTAAAACATTGCTTAACTATATTCATTAGTGATTAGTTATTACTTATGTATACCAAGGGTTTTTTTAATGATGAAACACTCATCATTTCAAAAATACTTAATGTGTTTAAATTTTTTTTATGTAATTGTAAGTAATAAAAAAATATATTTAATATATTTAATAATATATTTTTAATATATTTAATATTTTCTAAAAAATGTATATTTTTAGTGAAGTAATACAAAGGTATCTGTAAAAAATTTTGGTCTACTATTCCACTTATTTATTTTTTAATTTCTTGTAGCTCATAAACTACTCGTCTATTATTGAATTTATACATATCAAAATACTCCATATAATTTTTTGCTTTGGAATATAAAATTAAAAATATGTGTTGTCATATAAATAAGTAAAATAACTTTAAAAAAAAAATATTACAAATAGAAAAAAATTATTGTTTTATGGACAAAATAATTGTATTAACTATACAAAAAACATAATTTTCAAAAATGTAATAGTTTTTGAAATAATAAAAGACTCATGATAAAAATATGAATAATGAATATGTTAGGTAGAACATATAATTGCAGTAAACCTTAAATTGGAAGCTTGTTGAAAGTGTTTTATTAATGATATTTTAATTAATTTAAAGTTAACTTTGAAAATTTTAGAATGTTGTTAATAATAATTAATTTTCTATTCAATATTATGTAAAATATATTGTTTATAGGACACTTCTACAAATGACCTGAATGAGTATGAAATTCGTGATGGAATCTCCAAGTATGGATTAAAGCCAGTCCCATTGACTGATTCTACTCGTCCTGTAATAAGCAGTATTATCAGAAAAAAAAATAAACATTCTTAAGACTTATTTATTTCATAAATTATAATTATAAAACTATGTATAGTATCTACTGTTAAAATAATTTAATAAATATATTTGAATCACATCAAAGTATTTTAATTTGTTATGAATAAAAATTGGAATTTATTGTTTATGCACATATCATTTGTACAAACATCTATTTATATATAATATAATGTTACAATATACAATATACCATAAAGCACAGTGTTATAAATGTAATGTATATTAGGTTTAACTGTTAATTTGTAATTATATATATAGAATATGGGTTACCGATCCAGGTAGATTTGACAAGCTGTGAGTGTGGATTGAGGATAGCCGCATAGATCGTTTGAGTTTTATTGTCTGTTTCTGCTCCATGTTGCATACTCTTCTACACTATATGTATTGGTAATAGTTATATACCTTAGACTGCTGCCTAAAAGTCTTAAGTCAGCAGTCGGCCCCACTTGCTATTTCTCACACTAAGCATTTTAACAACATGTGCCCTACTTAAGGAATAATGTACGATGTTGATAGACGATAATCGTTTGTATTACATATTTTGAAAATTAATTATTATGGTTATTACTTATTATTATTATGTTTATTTATCAGTTTTTATTCATAAAACTGATCTATTTATAGATTATATTCAATCATAGTTTATAATTTTATGATATTGTAGATTAGTTGAAATCAAAAAAATATAAATTTAAAACAAGTGCAGCAGGTTCAAATTAAAATAGAAACAATAGAAACAATTTCACAAGTTTAAAACAAATTTTAATATGAGTGTTAAGAATTTTATAATTTGGTCTTGAATTAAAATTAACTATTAAAACTAATTAAGTCAAATTCAAAATATAATTAATAATTAATGATTTTTAATGAATATTTAGTAGTTTTTAAGTGCACAGACATCCAACCCTTATTAATTTCCAATAATAGTTTTATATAATGATAAATATATGATATTATCTAAGAATGTATATTATTTGAATATATTATTGTTAAATTTAACATAAAGTTATTTATTTATGTTGAATTGAATTCTGATTTTTAATTGAACTAAACTTATAATATAAGAACAATTTCAACATTTTTGAATTATTTATAAATTTAGTACAAATTCTAAAATTTGATCTTTGAAAATCATTATCTAATATTCTAATACAGTCATGTCAAACTCAAAGTATTATGTGGGGCAAATATATTGAATAGTTTTACAACTAAATTAAAAATGGTTAGCTTATCAGAAGAAAAGATAGTAAAATAATGTATACCAAATAAACCATTCTCTAAGAATCCAAGATAGTTGTCACATGGCATTAATATTTTATTATTATTATTTTTTTTGTTCATTAATATTGGTAACTATAGGCCACAAAAATATTAGTTGAGGGCTGTGTGTTTGACATGTCCGATCTAATGGATGACTAGTAGTTAAAAGTTTCCTTTAAGTAAAAAATAATTATCAAAAACTTTTAAATTTATGAAATGCAAATTTTTATTTCAAATCTAGTTTTAAAATCATTTTAGTGATTTAAAGAAACTAATTAATTTATTGAAGCTGGTTGTATTACAACCAGACAGTTTTCGAGAGTGAGTGTGCATATTTGAATATTAGTTATAACTAATGTATTGAAACATTTTTTGATTGTGATGATATTTTGTAAATATCGATTTAATATTTAATACATTTCGTTAAATTAAACTATTATATTATTACTTTAAGAAAGTTATGTTGTATATTTAATATTTATATAACAGTGTAAAAAAATAAATACTTTAAGTGGGGTGGGTAGATATTTAGTTGTTGCCTATTAACACTTTTAAAAACATTGCTAGGCTGGGATAGTTAATATATATTTTGTTTATTATTGATATTATTTCACATTAATTCCAAATAAAATTTATCACATTATATGTTTTGTTTTATCTATTATAAAGTACAAGAGACCTCCACTTAGTTTTGCTTCTATATACGCCGCTTACCTGTTTTTGAAAAGTTTAGGTATCATAATAATTATATGCAATATATTTTTATGTATGATTATAATTTATAAATTATATACTTATATTGAATAAACATTTTTTAAATGTTTTGTTTTATTAATTAATAAATATTTATCTATGAAAAAGTTATCGAAGAGTTAGGTACTTATTCTACTAAATAATAATAAAAAAAAAAAATTTGATATTTTGTAGTATTTTGTATGTTTGTAATTTAATTTGTCTTGATTTTTAAAAATAATTATGATTAAAAATTTTAAAATATTTTTTTATTTTTTTTTTTGTAGGTAACTAAGTATTGATATGTCTAATGCGAATGACCATTTTTTAGTTGAAGATGATGAAATATTAGCTTCTGTATTAGAAGAAAGTTTAAGGTAAATTAAAAAAAAAAAAAAACTAATTAACATTTTTTTCTTTTTACATAATTGTTTATTGGATTGAAAAATTAGATAATTTATTATTGTATCACTTATTAATTAGGTATATATTTTGTTTATCAATGTATTGCATGTTCAAATATTACACATAGCAAGTATAATGTTTACTTGAATCGCATGAACCTCGCTTTGTTGTGTAGGTAGTGGGTGTAAATTGTACCTCATCATTGATTAGAAAAATGTTATGCTGTCATGAATTTATTGATATATTAAATTTTAATTAAATAATTGTGTACAAAAAATGATTTTAAATGGTATTGATGTGCCAACTTTTATTTTTAAGGTAATTTTATAATTTATTTATATAGTGGTTTCTATTTCATTGATAGGTAGAACCATTTTTTTCCAAAAATATTTTAGTATATCATGTTATTATTGTAATATATAATTGTTATTAATTTTAATAAAAATGTGCCTTGATAAAACGGCGTTCATGATAGAGATAGTTAAAAATTAATTTAAAATTTCAAAAAAATGATTGTATATATTTAACAAAAATATATTTAATGACTGTTATGGCAGAAATTTTTAAGTTCTAGTTGCTTTCTTTAATATTTTTTTGATTTCCAAAAAAAAAAAAAAATAAAAAAATCATAAATCATAATTTGATTTTTCAATTTTCTTGTATTACAATTTAAAGATTTAGGTATTAAAATTAAAAAATAATGGTGTATGTTTAATTTAAAAATAATACTACATGTTTAAGATATTAATTGCTTTGATCAAAATTTGTATTTTCAACACAAGATAATAAAATGTTGCTGTAATGACTAGACAATTCTTTAATAAATATTTAGTGAGCATTTGAAGTATCTACAGTTGTTCATTTTTGAATTACAACAACCAGACAATATTAATTTTTATTAGTTTTTCCAATTATTTTGAAAAGTACTAGAAAGTTTTTACTTGTAACTTACCAAAATACAAATATAGATCCAATTTGATACAATAATATTTAATTATAAAAAATAAATAAAGAGATTTGTTTCTTCATTAATATTTATATTAACACATATTTGTTTTATAGACATTACAATGAAGTGGAAGTACCGTTACGATCCATTGATATTAAAGTACCTTCTACACGACCTATACATTCTATTGATGTGAACAAAGTACTTCCTACACAGTCTATTGTGGAGAATAAAGAACCACAACAGTCTATTACCACAAATTATGTACCTAAATTAAGTAGGGTTGCCTCACCAGAAGTAATAGACTTATGCCAATCACCTAAAAAATGTACAGTTGTCCAAAGCAGATTATCACATTTTTTTACAAAACCTAAAAATAATAAAGTCTGTGATGAAAAAACTAATTGTGTACTAGAAAATCAAACTGAAAAATTATCTATAGAAATAAATTCAGCGCCAGTACAGAATAATGTCAACATTATTAGCTCGTGAGTAACTTAAAAATATATGCATTTAATCGTTTTAAATTTAAATTGTTCAATATATTATTGCTTAATATACTTGATTCATTCTCTAGACCAGCAATTTTCTATAAAGAATCGGATGCTAAGGGTTTTCATTTATCGTCCGGCTCACATTATGTGTATCCTTCAAATTTTCCAGTCAGAGAATATCAAATGGCAATCATCAAAACAGCTTTATTTAATAATACTCTAGTCAGCTTGCCTACAGGTATTTTTTTTGTATAAAGTATATATTTGATTGTCTAGTGGATTATTAAATTATTGAGATTTAATTTTTTTCCATTATTATTATAGGTATGGGGAAAACATTCATAGCTGCCGTGGTCATGTACAACTTTTATCGATGGTATCCAATGGGTAAAGTAATATTTATGGCGCCGACAAGACCATTGGTTGCCCAACAAATTGAAGCATGTCACTCGATAATGGGTATTCCTAGGGAAACAACGTTTGAAATGACTGGTTAGTTGTGATCAATTCAGAGTATTTTATTATTCATTTTTAAAATTTAACGTTTCATTTTTATGCGATAAAAACATTATTAAGAATATCTAGAGATAATTTATTTTAGTTATTTGTGATATTATATTATTTATTTCAAATTTCATTTCACACATTTACCTATTCATGTTGATTTTTTATGTAAATAATAAAATATTCAATGATGTTTAATTAAATTCTAGGCAATATCCCGCCTGAACAAAGATACTTAGCATGGAATAAGTACAGAGTCTTTTTTCTTACACCACAAGTTCTGGCTAATGATTTGAGTCTTAATAAATGTCCATCACATACATTCAGATGTATTATCGTTGATGAAGCACATCGAGCTACCAAAGATTATGCTTATGTTCAGGTTATTAATTAAATACTATACAAATTACTATTAAATATTTATACGATTTTAAGAAATATTAACTTGAATGTTGTTTTACAGGTCTTAAAACATTTAGCCGAAGAAAACAGAGTAATTAGAATTGTTGGGTTATCAGCTACTCCCGGAACTAATATAGATGCAGTTTCTGAGGTTATTCAAAATTTAAGCATATCAAAGTTAGAGTTTAGAACTGATGAGTCTCCTGATGTAGCAAAGTATACAAATAAAAAGGACGTTGAATGTATACCAGTGAAACTTACAAATACTATTTTAGAGATTCGCACTCAGTTTTTAAAAGTTAGTGTTGTCTATCATCTTATTATGATATTTCACTTAACACATAAAAAATAATATTATTGTTTGCTTGTATATTTTTTCCTTGAAATTGTCTTCATTAAAATTATTTTATTAAAATTTATTTTAGATTTATGATAAATACTTAAGACGTTTAAAACAGTACCATGCCCTCAATGGAAATGTTGCTAATCTAACAAAATTTCAAGTTAGTATGGTGTTATTTATATCATTGAAATATTAAAATTAAAAAATGTTTAATATTTTTTGGTAGTATTTTCAATATTTTTTTAGTTCAATGCAAATTTTATTTTTTTCAGATACTTGGTGCCAAACAAAAATTTTTAACCAGTAATATTGCCCGTGATATGCCAAAATCTCTTGTTGGATGTTTGATAAATGATTTTACTATTTGCATGTCACTGGCATATGCTTTAGAGTTGTTGACCATTTATGGTGTCAAAGTATTTTATTTACAATCGTTAGGTAATTAAAGTATTAGATGGTAAATAATATGTTATAATCAGGGCAGGGCTCAGGACTTAATGTTCTTAACCTCAATATGTTTTTAAGATACATTCATATGCATAAAAAAATATAAAAATATCTGCTTGAATATGTGTTTATTTTTAATTAAAAAAGATGTACTTATACAAATTAATTTTAAAAAAACATATCTTAAACATACTATATTAAAAAAAAGACCAAACTGTTAAACAGGATGTATTTGGATTTGTTTAACATTCAGCATTGATTATTGCCTTTTTGGCATTATTGCAGACAAAATCATAAGATAAAATTAGAATGAACAAAGTGTATTGTATCTACACATTTGTTTTCTAAATAATATTTTTATAATGCGTAAAAAAAAAAAAATTTACATTAATATTTTTCATTTTTCTTATAAATCAAATTAAAAATGTTTAAATATAAAGAATATGCAATAAAAAAAAAAAATCTTTGCAATAAACATGCAAAGAAAAAAACTAAAATATGCAGTAGAAATTTTTGAATTTGAAATCCTTATATCAAAAAAACAATTATGTATAAAATCTGATTTCTTCAATCTATTTTCCGAACAAACATGCAAATGTATAAAGTCTCGAGCCTTGGTTATAATTATATATTTGATTTTTGTGTTTTATTTAGAAATCAAGGAAAATCATAAATGTTTATCAAATGATGCTGATTTTCGAAATCTTTTGCATAGCATTAACAATGATTTGAATTCTCAGGTAATTTATTTTTAGTAATTCATTTTGATTTCCTTGATTGTTTTTCAATTAAAATTTTTTTATAGGACTTGACTTGGAGTCACCCCAAATTATTTGAGTTAAAAAAAATTGTTCAAAACTATTTTGGCAATACACATGTAGAAGCAAGTAGTAAAATAATAATATTCTGTCAGGTATAGTATTTATATTTCAAATTTGTTTATTCAGTTGTAATTTTATATAATATGTTAAACATAAAATTGCATAATTGTGTTACCCATTAAAGTATTTTTTAATTATTTTGTTTATAGTATCGGTTGGTTGTAGTAGAAGTATTTGAACTTTTAAAAACATTTGGTTCATCTGTGAAACCAGTCATGTTTGTTGGGCAATCTCTTAAAGAAAAAGGTGGTCTAGCACAAAAAAAACAATTAGAGGTAAATAATAATAAAAGATTACGTTTTAATTATAATCATTGCATAATATGTTTACATTTAAATTTTTTGGAGTAGGTGATGAGCCGATTTAAAAGTGGAGATTTTAATGTATTAATTGCTACAAGTGTTGCTGAAGAAGGTCTAGATATTGGGGAAGTCGACCTAATCATTTGTTTGGAAGCCAATAAATCTCCAATTAAATTTGTTCAAAGACTCGGCCGAACTGGTCGTAAAAGATCAGGCAAATGTATTACTTTACTGACTGAAGGAAAAGAACAAATTGTAAATATTTTGTACAATTTTAAGTTTATGTTTATTTACTTTGTTTGTGGAAAGGCATGTAAAATTAAATTGGTTGATGTTGGAAATTTGAAATATTAATTTTTATTTGATTATCTTTATTTATTATTATTACAAGTATAATTGCTATTTTAGTATATACGACTAAACATATTAAAGAATGATTAAAATAATTTCTAAATATTAAATTTTATTTTTTGTTTAGAAATATAATTCTAGTGTTTCTTCTAGCAAAACACTTGTAGTAAAAATGTTAAAAAGCAAAGCAATACTTTCAAAATTGGCTCCAGGAGGACCAAGATTGGTGCCAAAACGTGAGTATCTTATACTGTGAATAGTAAATATTTGACAAATATATTGAAATGAATAATATTAACCGTTTGTAATTAAGTATCAATTTTATGTGGTAGGTTTATTGAACAATAAAATTTAAAAATTTAAAATGTTAATTAGATATCCATCCACAATGTTTAATGATTCATGTAAAAGAATCAAAAGAGTTGTTCCCAGAAAAAAAAAAACTAAAAGGCAAGAAAAAAGGAGTTCAAAATATTATGCAATATGCAGAACCTAATGATGATCAAAACAAAGTCAATGAAGACGGAGAAGAAGGACTTGATGTTTTCCAAAATAACATAGGTATAATTCTTGTAGAGCATAACATTAATCATCAGTTATTTTTTTAAAATTATGATTAATTTTTGATTATTGCTTTAATAATTTTTTTTCTTTTCAATAACTCATTTCACTAGGATAATTTATATGACACTAGGACAATTTATATTATATAATTATCTAGGCATAGCAACTTGAGTTTTTCAGGAGCCAAAAATACTATGAACCAAGGTAAAATGCAAGTGAGAATTCCTACGGATTATAAACTTGAGGCTTACCTTGTTATTTAATCTAGGCACCACTGTTAATATGGCAATGATTTGTCCTTAAAATAATTGTTAAAAGAACTTTTTTTATACATGCATATTTTTTTTTTTTTTTATGAGTAACATTAATATGTTTAACATATTTTTTTCCATTTCTTACTATGTGATAGAGTCATACACTTGACACATTAAATATTTAATTTCTTTAAAAGGACATATATAAACATAATAAAATATGTTTTAGTGTACACTATTTCTCATTATATTAATATAATAATTGCCTAATTTAAGATTTACTTTCTCCAAATGGCTACCTATTGATACTTTGTACATTATATAATTAACATATATTGATAAATAAATAAATATATATATAATTATAGCAAATTCTGGGCATTGTAATGTTGATTGATTTTGACTTTAATTTTTTATTTTTCGCGTATTTTTGTAAATAGTTAATTTTGATGATACTGAACTTTTTTAATGAATAATTTGTATTTTTTTTGATTTGGTTTTGTTTTCAATTTTGATATGTAATATTTAGCGATGTAGTAATAATTATGTTGTATAGTTTTATGCGTTGTTAAACTTTGATGTAATGTTTTTTTACCGTTTTTAACTATGATCCATGATAAGTTAATAGACGTTAGTTTATAGTTAAGCTATAATATGTACAGGGTGAGTTTTTGATTATGAACCACTCATTATTTAAAAATCTATAAACTACTACTCTACTTCGCTAATCTAAACATTAAATACTTACTACTCATAAATTACTTATCTGAATTTCGATTTTTATGAATCAAGTACTCTAATCTGCTTTAGAATTTATGATTAAAAATGTATGTTGTCATTCAAAAAAGGAAAAAAAAATGATAAAATTTTTTGTTTTATTTTGACTGGGAATTATATGAAAAAAATATTTTCTAAAGCGTTAATTGATGTTGGAGTAATGAGTGATTCGTGATAGAAGAATTTCGTGGTTAATAAACTAATAATTTTTCTAGCGGAATAAGTTATTGAAAAGAAAAGTATATAGGTATCTATTTATAAAATTGAAATTATATTTCAGATAAACCAAAAAGAAGATCTAAAAAACGAAAAATTATCGAATTAAATGCAAATGATAATGACTGTAAAGAAGTCGGATTGCCTAAAGAAAAAATTACAAATGTTGATTGCGAACACAATTTCAATGATTATAATGATTATAATGCACCCGATATCAATGCGCACGGTGTAAGTGTAACCGATAGGATTTTAGACCGCTTTGTTGACGAAGAAAAACTATTTAACGAATGGCTGGAGTCGTGTGTTCAGACCAATACTGTAGTGATGAATAGTCCGTTTTTGGAACTATTAAATTTGTTTACTGATCGTGATCAATGTGATAATGGACTTTTTGACAGTGAACCTACGAATGGCATGTTTATGAGGCAGACCGACTTTGGCCAGATGTTTAAAGGTCCATCGGTAAATGAAAAGCGTATGATCCGCGAAAACGATCAGCCAATGAGAAACGCCGATCATTCGTTCCGATTAAACGAAAATGTACAACTAGGTGGTTCACAAGTGGCTAGCACATCTGCAGCTCACAATATTAATGACTATACGGAAAATGCAGACTTTGGAGACGTATTCGACGGACACACTGACCAGTCTACTATTATGCGACCGATTGGTATGCGAACGTCCGCAGTTTGTAACGGTAGCCACAAGACGAAAACCATCGAAAACAGCCGTTTAAGTAAACTTGATTTCATAGATCTGTGCCAAAGTCAATCGGCTGATGAGCACACCGATGATTTCATGACGAAGAATACGGATCTTTCTAAAAAGCCGCTTACTGATGATGGCGATGGTGAACTCGTACACTATGTAGACGACGATAATTCATCAATGGATATTGCGACAAGAACCGACGTACCAGACATCGATGAAGATGTAGATGACGAAGTCATGGGAAATCTTAATTTCGAAGAATTATTTAAGAGCCAAAGGGCTGACAGGTTTATCGAAAAGTACAGCGAAGAAATCGGCGCTGAAAGACCAAAAGCCAATCATTTGGCAGTCGTGTGTAGCGACGGTGGTAAAAAATCCGAGATGGGCCATAACGAGAAAATAAACAACAGTGTAATGTTTGAGAGTCATAAATCCAACGGGTACATCGAAGACTTTATGGCTAGGGATCCGAAATCTCGTGTTTGTTCATCAAATGCAGACGAGCGAGTGGTACGTCATTTTAACGACGACGTCAACGATAACCATTCAATTGTGGACATCGTGAAAAAAGCCGTTATACGTGACGATGACCAAGATGAAGACGACGAACTCATGGGGAATATTGATTTCGAAAAACTGTACGATAGTCAGAGATCTGAAATCCGTATGGAAAAAGACATCGCTGCCGAAAGACAGATCATCGATCGATCGATCATTAATAGTGGTCGGAAAAGTCCTATCGTATGTGGTGGTGGACAAAAGGGCGAGACATCCAGTTACCCGTCAAACAGGAAGATAGACTACAGTGTATTGTTTAAGAGCCAAAGATCCAACGGTTACATTGAAGATTTTATGGTTAGAAACACAAAAGCTCGAGTCCCGAGTGCTGTCGATCGTGATGTACTCCACATCGACGACGACGATCAGAATAAAGACGATGAAGTGATGGGGAACCTTGATTTTGAAAAACTTGTCAAGGGTCAGAGGGCTGCCACGGGTATGGAAACGGCCGGAAGTGATAGAATATCTGCCAAACAGTCGAACGTCGGTCGATCGATTGAAAACGATGATCGGAAGAGTCCCATCGCGAGTGGTGTTGAGCCAAAGGTAAAAACAGTTGGACGTTCAAGCAAACTCGACTATGGCACACTGTTTAAGAGCCAACGAACTGATAAATACACCGAAGACTATAACGAAAAAATCGAAGTAAAAACGGTCGGTGAAAAGGTGGGCGTGGCAGACTCGAATGGCCCGGAGGTTGCTGACCTCATCGACGTTGATGACGACGTTATTTCCATAGAAAGTTCTCCAGAATTTTTCAGTTGTAGACCACCAAAGAAGGTCGTTCAGACAAAACTGACGAGTCAAGTTCGCGCCGATCGCGCCGTGGAAGTCATTGATTTGTCATCGCAGTCACCTAGCTCTTCGCGTACCGCGACTGCGTCCTCCGCCTGTCGACCGATTCCAAAAGACAGGTTGTCGACCGACGGCTTCGGGACCGCTCGTATCGGCGGCAGTGGTCTGGTGCAGTTGCTCGACGATGACGACGACATGGACTTCATGTTCATCGATTACAACGACGGAGTTGATGCTGCTGCAGATGTCTTCACGCAAAAACACGGAGACGTTTGCGATGCAGATAATTTTACGCAGAAACAACGGGACAGCGACCGGACGGAGGCGGCAGCCCGACTACCTTCACCGCCTGCCGCTCCGGCAGCGAAATCAGCGCCTAAAGACGACGTGACAAAGCGTGTCGGCCACTCCATACAGACGTACGACAACGGCATGATGCCCTTCAACATCATGAAAGCTGCACGTCTTGCTGACCTTCTTAAACCGGGCTTGAGCATGAAGAGGAATACAACGACAATGACATTGAAACGACAGGTCGATAGCGGATCGACGGCGACGGTGACCAAACGACAGGATGACAGCGGATCGACGGCGACGGCGACCAAACGACAGGTCGACAGCGGGTCGACGTCAATGGCGTTCAAACGACAGGTCGATAACGGATCGACGTCGATGGCGTTCAAACGACAGACCGATAACAGTTTAACGTCGACGATGCTCAAAAGAAAAGTCGACAGCGACCGAAGTCCAGCTAACGATATGTCGCCCATAAATCCTCCGAACAGGCCGCGGCGACGTCCTCAGTTCTCGCAGTCTACCCCCAAAGTTCCCTTGCACCCCAAACAACGACCACGAGAAACCGTCACTACCGCTGCAGCTACTACTGCCGCCGAAGAAACGGTCAACTCTCTGTTGACGTCCAGCAGTGACTCGGACGCTTTCATCGGCCATGGCCGGGACGAGAAGATGACTACCCCACGCCGCCGAGTCAAGAAAAAACGACGACCGAAACCGAAAAAGGTCAGTACCTATGTACTTGTTACTGCCAAGTAATAATATTATTGTCTGACTAATTACACCGTTTGTAGCGCTAATTTAATCACAAGATTTCCGAATCGGTCTATAATAAGGTTTATAAAAAATAGATATACCTATAATTTGTAGGAGTATCATAATAATAATAATATAATTTATTCGTTACTTGAGAGGACACATCTTGCACGTGTTGTCGCTGTCTTAAAAACGGAACTATGTAACATTTGCATTCAGTAGAAACAATTTCGTGTTGTGAAACTTCAAAAATGTTTAGATTAATTTTGAGCTATTAACATTTTAACTTTTCGACTCTTCTAAGTTTTTTTTTCGGTTCATGTCTATAAAATGTGTGTTTCTCTGTTGGGAGATTTCGGAAATAAAATACAAGGTTTTACATACGTTGTTCTTAAAGACATTTTAATATATCAAAAATACATTGATATTATTTTTTGTATGAGCTTTTGAAGATTAGATTAATGTTGTGTTTAAACATACGTATCACTATTTTTGGAAAGAAATATTTTCCGTATTCGTTGAATAATGAATTAAAATTTTTACACAATACGGATGTATTATAGAGATTTCCTTTATCATATAGTATACTCAAAAATCGGTAAAACGGTTTTTAAAAATATATTTTCAAGGATTATGTTTAAACATTATTTGCAATATTTAACTGTTTTGTCGATTTGTAAAAGTAATAGTTTATTATTTTAACTTAGTAGGTAGTTAAAAAAATATATTTATTAATTACAGATTCTATCTACAATAGAAATTGATTAATGCTTGTGTACCTTTACCGAAAGGATCTAATAGTTTGGATAACATTATTAATACTTAACTGTGTGAAATTTTTAATTAATGATTACACTTACGACATTAACCGATAGGTTACATAAAACAATATATATAACACTCAAGTACTTCATCTGGGATTTAAGATTTTCACTGTATTTATTATATTTATAATTTTTTTAGACTTATTTAAATTATTGTTGTACAAATTAAATTTTGCCACTTGAATTTTTTAAATATGAGTATATTATTATCGTATTATTGACTTTATTTCATTTGATGTAGAAACTCTTGTTCATCGATGATGAAGCTGATGTCAGCAATTGCTACGGCGATGGAAACATCCAAAGCACGACTAGCTCTGACAACGACGATGACGACGATGAAAATGATTTTGATTCTAGTTTCATCGATGACGACCACGAAAAGTCCGATCCGTCAAAGAGCATGACCAAACAGTATTTACAATCGGTCAAGTATGTGTCTCATATAGTGTTCTAATATTTCATATTATTTTAAGCCGTTATTGGATGTACGTGCAAACAAAAATAAAATTCAGTATAATCAGTACTGAGATTGTATAAATTTTATACAATTTTTTACTTATTGGACATTAAAAAAAAAAGAAGATTTTTGTCATAAATATGTTTTAGATTCTGAGTATTTGCATTAAAATGAATTTTTTGTTTAACAATTTGTTTATTTTTCGTGTTATTCGCCATCTTATCCAGAATAGTACAAACTTTTTTATCTTTAACTTAGTCACTGATGGTGATTACTGCTAATAAATTGGTATTATTGTCAAAAGCATTAACTTCCATTTACTTTTTAAAATAACTGAAATAAATTAAAAAACTGGTTTTGTTTTTTGTTGTAATTAAAAAATGATACTTAAAATTTTAATAGATAATATGCATATTAGAATTGTTTTTTAATGTTATAATTTTCAAAATATTTGGTTCTGTTTTAGTTGTTTATAAACATTTAATATGTTTAATTTTTGAAAGGACTTATTATCATTTTTAGCACCTTACATCCCCTCCACAAATTTATAATAGTTGTATTTGGGTTTGATCGCTTATTTGATTAGATGCGTTGCACGACAGAGTCATAAGAAATTGACTTAGCAAAAGGTAATAATTGTTATATAGTTAATTTAGAAATTCTTCTTCAGGAATCAGACTAATGTTCGTGGAGTTTTCAAGATACCTCAGCTGACGGGACATCATTACAACATCGATGTTTACTCTCAGATGGACGACCGGAATATGGATAACTATGTAGAGGTAATCGTTAAGCTTTCTTTTTATATTTAAAAACTTATCCATATTTATTATAAAACGAACGTCACAAAAATTCAATAAAATTCGGGCATGTCGTGGTGTAGGTTAGGTTAGGTAACTGTTTTGTAATCAATAATCATCTACAATAATAAATTGTCTAAAACAATAAAAATATTATTTAAGTTACATTTTTAAGGGCGCCTTCTAAAAATTCGCCCGGGGCGCTATAATAACTTGGGCCGGCACTGCCCGACATCATTATATACCTATTATTCGATAAGTAAATAATATTTATCCAAAGTGTGTTGTGACTTTTAATAACTAATAATAATGTGCCGCGATAGGAAAAAGTTTGGGAACCGCCGGTTTAGAAGGTTGTTTACTTGTATGATTTTATGCATAGAATCATAATAAAATTATGTTTAATTAAAACTATTTGGTTTTATTTGTATGAAAAGATTTATTTTTTTTCCATAACAAAAATTGTATTTAATTTATTTCGTTATAAACCAAAACACAAATATTTTAATCTTTGAAACGTTTGTTAATATTATTGATATTATAATATCGTAATGAAATTCGATTCACTATGTAGTGAATACTTTTCAGTTAGCCTCATGGCGCTTTTCGCATGATTTGTAACTTAATTAGGTACTATCCCACCACAGTCGTTCAGTCGTGTATATATTTACTAACATTGTTGAGTATAAATTAAAGTTCCATAAAAATTAATGAATTTAATGAACTAAAAATAATATAATTATGTTAATAAACGACATATAATCATAATGGGCTAATAATTGAATGTCAGTCTGGCTCCTTTCACAGTAATTTTTAATAGGATCTGACGGGGCGTAGGTATTGTGTGCAAACTTAAGAAATATATTTTAACTATCATTTAATACATCACAGTAAAATGCATTTAAAACAAAATCATGACTTATACAATTATTTATTGTTATAATATTATTAAAAGAAAATTATAATCCATAATGCCTTACATACTTCTTTTTTTAATTTGTGCATATAAAATAGAAAAAAATCGATAAGCATAAATAGTATTAATTAAATAAATTCTAAATTATTATTTAAACAGCGGTTTATTTAATTTATTGCTAGAAGATTCTAATTTATTGTTAATAGTTTCATCTTTATTTATATGTTTATGGTGTCGTTAGTTCAAAAAGAATTTGAAATTTCCTAGTCAAGATTTATATAGGTGATTTAAATACACATTTTATCGTTTAAATATTGGCTCAATATTGAAAATTATCTAAGGGTCGGGTAGCCGAGTGGGCCAGACATATACTGAGTCTATATTAGCTCACATATAGATTCATTAAAATGTGTTTATGTGACCCGGCATTAGTGAATGAAATTATTTAACTTAGATAGGTACCCAATGATGATAATAATATAGTGATTGGTTTTTACTTTTTAATCAATGTTCGTTATTGTCCGTGGACAGGATTCGTTTTGTGTGGAAGACGCATCGGATTTGAACTACACGTCGTCGACGACCAACACGAGCGCACATCGGACGTCGGACGAACGGCCGTCCAAGCCGCCGCCGTCGCGAAAGCGGAAACGCATATTGTCGCCACAGAGTACGGACAGCAGTGACAGTTCCGGCGATCTGCAGTTCCGTCGGAAGCGCGTCAAAGCGAAGACTTCGTTGGACTTTAGTTGATCGCGTTCGGGGCTTCGGATTTTGGAAGTAACTGTATTTCCATTCGTCAATATTTTTATACCTGTTACCTTTTTTTTTCGCGCTCGTTTATTATATTGTAGCGTTTTTTTTTTATCGTACTGTTCGCCTATCTTACAGATACGATTTACTAGTCCGCGATTTCGTAATATTGTATACTTACGAGTCGTAGGTGCGACTGACAGCAAATCACTATCGGTATTCTTTTTTATTTATTTATTTATTCTGTACATACCTATATTATACCTATACACAACTATTATACTTACATGTTAATTTGTTATTTTTTTTTTATGTATTTAATTATTATTATTTTTTTTTTGTGATATCCAAAAGTGTATTGAAAAACGGATACCTACGCGTAACGTTTTAATGTGATAATAAAAATAATCTTAAAAATTGACAATAGAACTTTTTTAATTTATTTCAGATTCATAGCAAAGCAAGTAATGCATTTATGTATATTAGTGTATAATGATGGATGTGAGTTTTATGTTTGAGGCACGTTTTGTTCCAGAACGATGTTTGCTTTAATCGACATTCATTAGTATTAAAACGTCTGTAGGTTCTTCTATTGCCTATATACAAAATATGATAATTAGTCAACAAAGTATATAGTTTTGTTACTTTAAAAATAATTATTTTTGGAAAACTATTCAAATCAAAGTAATAATTATTGTATAACAGAATACAGATAACATAGACGCGTATACTATACGCCAAACAGTGGCGAGGGGTGAGCTTTCTAATATTTAACAGGACATTGCTTCTCTAGATATATTATTTTGTAATTAATTAATAAACGTATGATTGAAAAACTATTTTAAATTTGCTGAAGTTTTACTTAGAAAAACGCAACATTTTAATTTTCAAACGATTGACTACAGAAAAATATTATTATACTTCATATTTTGTATTTGATTTATTGAATTGAAATTTTCTTATTGAAGGTAGACACAAAATTACTGTCATCAGAGATCCATCATGTAAAAATATGACAATTTTAGTTAATCATAATTAACATTTTAAATACGATCATTATTCTTGTTAGCTAACAATAAATATAATTAGTATAATTGTCACTAGTTTATATTAAATTTAAATTTACATTAAAATGTATACATGAAAAAATTCTACTGGGCGTATGTCTAGTGTACACTATAAAAAGGCAGTCCAATTGTCCAAAAGCAGCTACAGTCTTAAGAAGATCATCAACCACCAACTGCCAGTAATCGAAGGAAGTAAAACCATTCGCGAAAAATGTTTTTATTCAATATAGTCTGTGTTTTTGCATTGTTTGTTCACAAATCGCAAAGCAACGCGTACTCTGAATTGGTTTATGAATTTGAAAAAGACGCTCGTAATCACTGCTCTACATAGCTGTATCACGAGTTTCAGATGTTCAAGATCTCTTGACTCTTAATTTTTACCAAAGATGATTATTTGACGTTTTATTACGCTCATGAAAAACATCAGATTCCATGAAACGTCTATAGGTATTCAAGACACATGTAATCAACTGTGGTAACAGATGACCAACGAATTAACAATTTTATAAACTAAAAGAAAAAGAGATTATCAATTTATAGACTCAATTGTCAGATGTCTAAGTATCGGAGTTAATTAAAATAAGACGGTAGATACCGTTCTTCATAATTCAAAAATTAAAAATTTTTTGTGCAGATTTTTCAAACATTTATTTTTTTTTTTTTGGTTGAATACATCCTGATGTGTTGTATATTTTTATTTATTATGTATAGCTTAAAATTCTACCAACTCAGTTTCCCAGAAAGAAGTTTCATTTAATCTATGTGTACTTAAAATACTCACATTTTTTTCAAATAATAATCACCCTTTTTCTTATAAATTATTAACCAGATCATTTTTTTTTAAATGTTGTATCTAAATTGAGATTCGAATAAATAACTTTTGTTATTACATAGCTATTACATTTTGTTTTCTAATGATAGGTCCATAATCATACTTATTACTTCAGAAGATATGAGTGCTATTCATGCAATAATGATTTAGAAATTATAATAATTATCAATTACTAATAATCTATTAACATTTTATAATTTGTTAAAACTGTAAAAATTTGTTACTAACAAACAATAAATAATGAAATAATAAACATTAAATTAAATATTACAACTATTTTATAATTTTGTAAAACTATTTTAAGAACTATATTATCCTTAGTATACATATACATTTTTATAATTTAGAATCTACTCGTTCGAATTTTAATTTAGATACACAAATATTTTCTAGGAGAAGTCATCTGTTTTATAATTGTAAAATAAGTGGGTTTTAATTTGAAAAAAAGATTTTTAAAACACTCTTTAAATGATTAATTTAACTTAGTTTAGTAAATATTATAATTTTGTTGATAAAGTATTTGAAAACTATTGGCTAGTAGTATATTTAAAAATTTCAAGAAGTTAAATAAATCCGTAGTTAGACGAAAATATGGGTGAACATGCTTGGTAAATAATTCTATGTACAAACAGAAATTAGTTGATAGAATGTTTTTATAGGAGATACTCTATCAAGTCACAATTGAGTTTATATACATATGCTATATTACATTTAACTCGGATCTTACGTTATATTATAGATTTTGTGAATCGTGAATCTAATCAGCTGTGGTTGTATTGAATTTTGATACAATATAAATTATCTCCTCCCTTCTTCCGTTTAAATTGCTCAAATCAAGGCTTTGATATGATTTGGGATTCGGTATTCTTTGTACATTGAAATCAAGTACATACTTAAACTTCAGATATGTCCGTATGCGATCGATTATCCGATTAATTAATAATGTTAAAAAAAACAATAGTCTACAATATTTGTCAAGAAACATAAAGTATAATAATTAATAATAATAATGACAATGATGATAATAATCACATTAATATTATTAATAATAATAATGATAATAATAATAATAATAATAATAATAATAATAATTATACAAATAATAATAATAATAGTAGTAGTAATAATAATAATAATAATAATAATAATAATAATAATAATAATAAAAATAGTAATAATAATATAATAACACGTTTTTCTCATCATGATAAACGCCAGATATATTATATAGGAGACGAAACACAATATACAGTTGAATATAATGAAATGTAATAAAAGATTTATAATTTTATCGGTTAAAATATTTAGGTAGTTTTTTTAAAATAAAAATTGTTTGGCATCACAACGCGGCGCACGTATTAAAACGAAGTTATTAAGTCCTCTATATCTAGAACTATTTTAATAATCATAAATAATAATATTCGCTCAATCACATTGAATTTACAAAACGTGCTGTTATGGGCGGTCACGGGGTGTCAAATTTCGGGAAAACGTGGTCGTGAAAAACATGAAAGGAAAAAAAACCCCAAATGAAATCGCCTCACAAGTCTGCCGTTAAGTCCAGCTGTGTATGGATCATCTCAGTTTTATTATTCACACATTTTGTCAGATCTCAGTGTTTTTACACCCTGCACGACCATTATTTTCGCGTATTTCTACAGGGTTTTATTTTTTATTTTTTACTTTTATTATTAACATTATATTTTCTAAGTACGAGTAGTTGAAAAACTTTCCGTTCGCGACTTTAACGCGCGCAAAAAACGACGCTTTCTTCTGTACACGCGGAACTACCTAATTATTTCGTTATTTTAAAATTTTTGCAAATTTGCAATCGTTTACACGGCACGTGGCACGTTTCATAAATTTTCACAAAATGCATTGTTTCCAATATCATATTGGGTTTAGGTATAATAATAATAATAATAATAAATAACATTATGGTTAGATTAACAGTTCCTATATACCTATTATAATATTTTTAATATATTTATTATATAGTATATTTATTTTTAAATTTAAACTATAATGTTGTATTGAAATGTATATAAACTTATTATTTCCAATAAGACTAATGAAGATTCGCGCAGTCATAGCACATAATATATGATGACGTTTTTACTTTACTTTTTTTATTTTTATTTTTTTATTTTTTTATTTTTTTTGCTAACATCAAATGACAAAGCGAGATTATCCCTAGGTTATAAATATAATAATATTAAACATCTACTTTCACTAATAATAAGAAAAAAAAAACATAACGTAAGTATATAATTATCGTTATAATATCATAAATAATGTACATAATTTTTAACACACGTGCCGGTGAATATAACTACTCACTCACGCACACCCACACATGCGTACGTCAAAGGATGTGTTTTTAACTGGGGGGAGGGGGCAATCGGCTGTCGAATATATTATATATGACCCTGCAGCGATAAAACTGTCGATAAGGGTCGAACGGTGGGAGGCGTTTCAGACTTTTTGATATTGCTTCGTCTCTTCGTGTATATAGTAGGTATTTATAGTATTATATCGAGACGTGTGTAAAGTTCAGTATCGCAGCCGGGTGGCTAGGATAGGGAGTGTGCGACGCACCCTACGACCTCGAGTTCCGAATACTGCAGCAGGTGGGTCAGACCGTCATTGGGCTATTATACATAGTACAGTTTAATATTATTATATAGCGACGTAGAAATATTATTTACAACGCGTCAGCGAGCGTATTTGTTTTAATGACTGACATTGTCGTTCGTGCGACACCATCGAGCGCGCGAGTGGGGTTTATCTATTGAACTATAAAGAGCTGGTGTGTAAACACGCCGGGGCGGAAATGGTTGCGCGTGAGTAGGTCATACAATAATAGTATATATAGATAGGTACCTATGTACAAATAATAATTTTGTGCATTTATATATATATATATATATATATATATGTATGTGCGTATATTTGGTCTCGGCAGACCGAATTGTGTACAATGTACATATTATAGCATTGTATATTATTGATATGTCCGTAATATTGAATCGCGGTAAACTGAAAACGAGTATATATTGCATATACACTGCATATTATATTATATACATACATTGATACATTGGTACCATTGTACGCTATGTGGCGACGACGTACGACCTAACGTAACGCGTTGCGTGCATGTATATATATATATATATATAGATATAGATATATAGGATATAATGTGGGTGTATAGTATATAGGTGCATTGTACATATTATATGCAAATGTGTCGTACGTCGTGGCGAAAAGGTTTGTACAATAATAAATTTGGAAACGAAATCTGAATGAAAAAACGCGCGGCAAACCAGGAAAAATAAAAATTACGATTAAATAATTTACAAATAAACATTATATGCGATGGCCCGCGGTGACAATTTTGGCTGTGTTCCACGCCGTGTTGACGCGTGTTGCAGCTGAAGAGCTTCTCGGCCGGTTTACAGGTAAACGCGACGCAAGTTGGACGGAAGCGTTATCACGTAACACTGCGGACACAGCTTTTTAGCACCCTGAAACGGACACACAAGAAGACGTTATCAATGTGGTGATCATATTTTTCTTTTGCTGGCGGGTACGACGGCCGCACAGCAGTTATATTATTATTATTATTATTATGTCGACGAACAGTTTAACATCGCGTATACTCACCAGTATTTGTAGCCAGCACACTTCACAGTACACGTGCCAGCACGACGTCGACACCACGGGGTCTTTAAAATTTCCCTGGAAAAATGAAAAGTAGCTTTTATAAAACTGTCCATATTTTATGTACACGGATGCGGAATACGAGCACGTCCGGGCAGTTTGGGTTATGTCGGTAACATAGGCGTTGCCAGGACGTTAAACAAAGGTTAGGTATATAAGACATAGACGGTCGTATGTCACCGTTTCGCGTGAAAATTGTCGCATTCGAGGTGTGCATGTAGGATATCATACTACGTAAAGTAAACAATAAGTTGCTGCTGTTTCGAGGAAAGAATAGGACTCCGATGCTTCAGTAGGTACTCGGTGCGACAACGGTACTCACTTTGCACAATAGACAAGTGAACTTGTCGCTGCCGGTCTTGGAAGCGGACTCCAGTTCCCGGATCCGAGCCTTAAGCGCTTCGACGACCTGACCGTTGTTGTTGAACTGTGCGCAATACTTATCAACGTCCATTTTGGGTTTCACAGTCCCTTCGTCTTGCGTGTTTTCCTTTTTGATTGACACGTCCAGCGGCCCGACGTTTTCGCACGAGTCCATTGCATCCATAGCGTTCGGATCGTTCAGCCTGCACACCACCAACGATCACGGTATTACATTTTTATTATTTTACGATTATAACGGGTAAATTAATGTCGGGACGCGTCGTCACAAACGCGTGCTCGTATAACGTAATATGTAGTTTTTATATTATATAATACCATCATCAATAACTCATTGCATAACGCGATTATGTCAAGTAGGTACCCTCCTATTACAACATGCAATACGTATAGTTATATAGTTACGACGATGAGCTAGGTGATCAGACGTGGCGAATTGTGTAAGAGCGGGTGAGAATAGCTGTTCAAATTAGTGTGAAACAAAAAAAATATATACCGTAAAATAATAATAAGAAAAAAAAATCTATGATGCATAGATGACGCCACGCCGGGCAAAACATATTACAAGACGGCGGGTATCGGTATTATAATGGCCGTGTGAGATGATGGCTTGTATTTAGTGGAGGCGAATAGTGGGAGTAGAAAATAGAAAAAAAAACCATAAAAAATAAAAACAAAAACGAAAACCTAAATGGGGTTTCGTTCGTTGGAGGTTTCGGGAAATTTCGAGCGACGGCGCTTACTCGGCGGGTGAAAGTCGGCGACTCTCCGAAGAAGCGGTAGGAGGACGTGACGGGACGATTACGTCCCGTTCGGCGTACTGGTTAGGGCCGTACTTGTTGTATAAGCTGCCGCTGCTGCTGCCTCCGTTTTCGTTGTCGTTGTCGTCGACCACCAAGACCGCGTCTTCGGCACCGCCAACCGAATCTTCGCCACCGGTCGCCGACTGTCTAGACGGCGGCTGCTGAGCCGGATTTCCGGCACCGGAACAGTTAATCGCCGCGGCTGCAGCACCTACGCAATTAAAGGAAACTGATGATATTTTTAGAAAAATCATTTTTTATTCACTTCCATTTTCTGCCGCAGTAGATATTGCGTCAATATAATTTTATGATAATATACCTTTGTACGTAATACAATATAGGAAAATATATTTTAGCAATTAAGCAACTAAAACAGTCGAAACCAGCGAAGTGATATGAGTATGGGGCTACACTACATTTTTATTATTTAACAGCGTCGCATGTGCAGGTATGAGGCAGTCCTGCTGGTGTCGTGCGACTGCAGGGCAAAAGTGCGACGGCCGCTCGCGAGTCATATAATAATATATTATCACTGTACCTACCTTAGTAAATTGTGTATGCCTATATTTTTAAAAACAACCAAAGTGTTTCCTACCTTTAACTGTGTTAAAATTTCTTAAAATCGACTGACGTTTTACCTTTAGGACTTTACAACGCCAGGATATTAATATCATGATTAATTAAATAAGGTTTTTCTTATACTTTGAATAAACACATACATTGAATTTATGTGGTTCCCAAAAATATTTATTGGTGATCTCTGTCCTAAAGGTTTTGATAAAATTGAAAAAATGTAAGCGCTATAAATATGACTGCAGTTTTAATAACGGTATTGGGTTGGAGATGGATCGTATAATCTGAACAGGGCACACTATCTTGACAATATAATATGTACCTGTATACTGCAGTTACGAATGTATTATAATAGTAATTGATAGTATAAAATATGAAATTATGTCGTAATACATGTTTGTTATTCTGATTTAACTATTTTCACGTACGTGGATGAATTGAATAATAGTAGTATAGGAATAAAATATATATGATGCGTGGTAGAAGTTATCTACTGTATAAAATATGTTAAAATTGTTAATAAATGTATGGTGTCCTAATTTAATGATCAATTTGATGTTTTTAAAATAAAACTACACTTGGAGTGAAGTATGTTTAGGTAATATTTTATTAAATTATCTACTATTCAAAATAATTAAAATAGTGAATTGTAATTTTATTATTGTAAAAGCGAATAAAAACAAAAAATTGTCGTGGTTTTGTATATTTTTAATCTTGAGTTGTCCTTTTTCATTTGAAGAAAAAAATTATGTTCGTCAGTTCGATAAACTTCCTAATGTCCAGATTCTCATTGAATATATATAAAAAAAAAAATTATCATCACGTCACATACAATAAAGTTATTGTTGTTATACATATACATTAACTTTTAAATCATATGGGTGATTTTGTTGATAATGTTTGTTTTTGTGAATAATTCATGTATTTTATATTGGAAAATTCGTATAGTTATTAATAAAAATAAATAAGTTTATATAATGTGTACAATTGTGTATACATAATCACAAGATCTAAACGATATTTATTTTATGTTTCGCTTCGAAGACCGCCCCTTATTTATATTGTTGTCGTCTATCCGTTGCTTTATTTTCTATGAATAAATTATCTAGAGGATTTCGCGTAAAACTGTGGTGGGTGGTTGGCAGGCTGTAGCTGCTAAGGTTTATGTTGTGGCAGTTAAGTGGTTTCTAAAAGCGATATCGTCACCGCCGTCAACCGATATAGATATATATCTATAGTTGTGAAAATATTTCAAGTTAGCCTACGATATGATCTAGGATTTGGAGTTTAATACATTTATAAAAAGGGATAATTCTGCGGGATCTGTAATACGTTTTACAAAAATATATGATTTATATTTTATTTTAAAATTTAGTAACATTCATTAAATTGACGTTCGCATAACGCTAAGATAAAGTTATCCAAGTATTAAAATAAAAGGACCTAGAATATAGAAAACATGTATTATTTGATCAATCGTGTAGACTATTTGACGAAAAATATTCTATGAATTGTTTTGCAGTCAATTTTTGATTAAAATAACCAACAAATTATTACATCGGATATTTCTTTGGTCTTATATTATAAGATCTATTTTGCAAACAATTCACAATATTAAGATTGAATCATACAAGTAAATTGATTTTATTTGAAGGACTATATGTAATTGAGCACAATAAGCTCATGTACCATGGTTAATATAATATTTAAGTATATACGTATAAATGACATATCAAATTAAGAATATAATAATTTTTTAAGTACCAAAGATAAATAAAGCGATTAATTCAACTGTTAGGAGTCAGTACAATATACGAAGAACAGTGAAAAAATGGTTCTTAACAACTGTTAATATAATAATAATAAAAATAATAAAATAAAAATATTTTATATAGCCTCTAAAAAAAAAAAAAAAATAAAATAAAAAATAATTAATTAATATAATTATTTCCAAATTGAATGTTGATGAAAATTATGCATCATATACATTTGTATGTATTTCTATTGTAAATAAATACAAAATGTTAAAATTAAAATGGTCTTCAATGTAGTATGAACGGATAATAATACGGTATAATTACAATATATTTTAAAGCGCTGGAAACATACACCATCGAGTATGGCATTTAAAATTAATTCATAATAATATTTCATTAAAATGTTTTGTCAATACTATCATAAGAAATAAACGATTTTATGGATCAATTTCAAATTAAACGAAACAGCACTTTCAGTGTTGAAAACAACTATAAAAATGTAACGACGAGCGTACAACAATAATTGAACATAAAATGTAAAAGCGTTTCAAGGAAGAATTGCCGATCATTTATAAAATATTAATTCTTCCTTAAATGCTTTACGCGCGTATTAAAGTATTTAAATAGGTACGTATAATTGTTACGATTTACAAACATATATAACCATCCACGGGGTAGACCTATAACTTAGATACGGAACTAAACACAACTCGTAGCAGAGAGAGAGAGAGAGCGAGAGAAATCATGGAAAAGCCAATGGTTAGTTAAATGCTGACCATAGAAAGATCGGATCTCACCTCTGTTGTATCCGCCACCGTGCATGAGCATCGCCTGCTGTCTCATCCTGTTGTGCGGCTGTTGGCCGTGCCATCCGCTATTGCCACCGCCGTATACGATGTCGTACATCGTCGTCTCGGTATCGCCTTCCACGTCCACGTTCTCGTCTTCGTCGTCGTTACCCGCGGTCGCCACTGCTGGGTGTCCCTGGAAAATAACGTCGGCGTGCGGAAAACATGAGTAAAAACGTCTGGTAAAACGGTACTGACTGTTGTCGTAACGTGTTTTAATACACCAAAAATATTGTTTGAAATACGACTGAACGGGAAGGGCGTGGCGCTGTGTAGTCAAGGCCGGGCGTAAGGTATGTATTTAATTCATAAGCCATAAAGAATTCGAAAACGATTCTGAACGCACACATTTAAATGTTACCTATTTAAATTAAATTTCCTCGATCGTTTCGGTTTGCAACTGAGAGACGGGATGAATTCGCTTCAAGGCACAATGCAACCGTATAGATGTGTTTATAGGAAAGTTATTTTTTGCTAAATCCTTAATTAACAAACAACATTTTTTATAAATATACGTGTATTATCTTTTTTTTTAGTGGAACGATTATTGTCTATTAAACGATATACTTCTTATCGACGATAGTATTACATTACATTTTTAGATTTTTGAAGTTTAAATTTACAATTTGACTAAAATAAATACCGGAATAAATAAATAACTACGAATTTTTGGAAATTATTTAGTGCGTTTTTGATTCGTGATCACTTTGCAAACTGATAAATTCTCAGTTCTCACCTCATAAATAATACTTAATACGGAACTCAATTAAAATGATGTATGCTAATATCATATTTATATGCGTACTTTGTTCCTCAGGCACATTTCCACGTGAGCGTTCATCTGCTCTTGAGTGGCCGCGGCCACGGGCTCATTACAAACTGGACAGCAGCAAGTTGTCGGTGTCGGTGTCAGCAGCATCTCGTCGGGTTTCCGTTTTCGATTTTTGATCCTCAACCGGTTGTGTCGGTTGGCCTTGACTTTTTGATAAGTCTGCATAGACGAAAACGATAATTATAGTAATAATTATTAATTATCTTATGTGTACATTATTGTCAACGACATAGTAACTTTGCACACACAAATTATAAATGATATAACGAACAGCAGTCAAACCGAAAAATCATAGATAACTTCTTTGGACAATCATGAAATAATGGTTGGTGAAGGTTTTAAATTTTAAAACTTAGTGACGGAAGGGAGACTAGCTCAGCAGAAGATCGATAAATTATTTTAAATAGAATTTTTGGAATACTACGTGTATTTATTAATAACTATCAAGATGAAAAATTATCGACGTTTTGATGAAAGTATAACTACAATAACATTAATATAATTGTATAATAAACAATATATTTTATTACTTATGTTATTACTTAACGATGGTTAACTATTAATACTGTCATTTACATAAACAAATTCTCATGTGCTAAATTTACGATTTTAAAATTTTTGTATCTCGGATTTAGATTAAAATAAGCTATCACATTTTGATAATTTCTTTTATAAACTATATTGTAAAATTAATGAAAAATAATAAATAAAAGCTTTTAAATGTCACCAATGGTTAACGAAATGCCGTCTATGTACTAAAAATGTATAACATGATATCATTCGAAATATTTCCTTTGTATGCTTTTCGAATAGAATAGAAACTACAATTATTGTAGTTTAAATTATTTAAATCTTTATCTTTAATAGTATAAAACATTGTCAATGTATACAATGTATCCAAAAAATATCAAATTTTTACTTTAATTACTTTTTTTGAATTAAGATTTGATGTAGTTTTAAAATTTAAAAAATTATTTTTATGGATCCTTGAAACTTTTTTTTTTTGTGAAAAATCGGATTTTAGCACAGGGAGGGTTTTTTGTGTCAATAAAAACATACTGAAGACTTTTTACACTGCAGTTATGAAGTTATCGTCTATGTCACTATGTCAACCACTCGATTAAAATCTGAAAAAAACGGCTGTTAACCGGATATTACCCTACAACACATTGAAAACTCATAACGGTCTATGACGATAATTTAAGCACTGAGACGACTCGAAAGAAACTCGTCAACATACGGTCTTGCTATAACGACGTGCTGTAAATATTTTTGTAAATCTTTTTCGTGCTCACAGGAAACTTTATGTCACGAAAAACGGATATTTGCAAACCGGAATCTCATTTCACGGCCTGTAAGTATATATAAACAGCGCAAGGGTTGTGAAAACGATCGGAAATGTTCGAATAATCGAAATAAAAAAATTAGTTCAAACTTTTAACGAAAATCGTTCAGTCGATGAAAAAAATATGATATACTGGTTGATTCATAATCGACGTAGGTACAGCTGAAACTATCAAACCGAATCATTCGAGCTTTTTTAGAAAACGTACTTTTTATTACGTGTAAAGGCATGCCAAGAAAAGATTTCATGAAATTTGAATTTAAAAAAAGGCCTAGGTTAGGTTAGGCCTAGGGAAAATAATTAAACTTTTTTTAAATTGTCATATCGTTGCCATTGATCACAGAACAAAATAGTTATCACGCGGTTGTGGTACCTTTTTAGAACTGTCACGTCTCATATTTGGCCAACAAAAAAAAAAAAAAAACTCAAATACCTACGACCGTGTTAAGAATCCGTGCGATTTACATGATTTCGTGGTGTTCGAAACGGGTCGAATTTATGGAAATCATTTTTTTTTTTTTTTTTTGACACGGGTAAAGGCTGAGCTGTGTAGGACTATCGATTAGCGTGCAGTAAAACACAAAATTTAACGATTAAATACGACATGATAAATAATTATGCACGAACCTCCCATCGGCCGTGCAGTGTCGCGTCCCTGCTGCTGCCGCCGGCCACCGGCGACAACCGACGCCGTCTAAGACCTATAAGTGGGCCGATGATGTACGTATTATAGTGGGATAGTGTGCATTATATTTATGCATAATAATTTAGCATACCCTAATAATAATTATACTTAATTATACATACTTCCATAAGTAGTTTATTGTTTGTATTATCATACCTTCATAAGTTAATGTTCCCAATAATAAATTTATTAAGCTAAGCCAGACTGTCCTCATTGAATAAAAATGTTTGTTGAATTGATCCTAGTGATTTTCAGTAATTTTAGTAATTGCTTATTTTGATATAAAATGCATAATCAAAATAATTAAGCTCCTTCCAAATGTTTTAGTAATTAGTTTTATTTTTATTAGTCAATCTAAATGAAATCTTCAATCTGTGCGACTCCATGCCATTTTCTTCACATACCTGCAAGCACCATATAATATATTTTGGTGAAAGGGTCATTGTTTTAAGATTTTATTTTCGTTTATTTTTGTTTTACAAGAGGCAAATTATGCTTCAATTATCAGGATTGAAATATTTTCCAGTAATCAATTTATCTAGATAAAGAGGGTTATTTTCGAATTACAAAAACCGCAATACATAAATTAAATGTTCGTATTAATTTTGTTTATAAAATTTAGTACAAATATTTATTACGTCTACAATGGAATCGGATATTTCTACGGGTTTAATAAATTTCATTTATTTTGTTTATTTTAACTAACTCTATTAAATGAGACCTTAAACAGTAGTTGCGTTATTTTATAAATTTATGATAGATAGTAAAAATATTAATTTAAAAACATGTCCTTAATTTTCAAATTTTGGGTTTCATTAGTTTTATCCATTGATAATATCAATACACTTTTATTATATTTATATAGGCTGTCTTAAATATTTCTTAACGTCAAATAAAGTATTGTATTCTATAAATGTTTTCTAGATTAATTTTAAAAATTAAATAAACAAAACCTGTTCTAACACTCAAAATAGTTGTTTCCAATTCTAATCATTAAATTTTAAAATATTTTCTATTGACATAAGTATTCAAGCTAATTAATTCAAAGTCCTTTAAAGATTTTTCGCATTCATGTTGGATGACAGTTTTAATTTTCAGTAATTATTGTCAATCAAACTTCTGCCATTGTTTATTTTATTATAACGCAAATAAATGTTTGAAAATGACATAAAAAGTTAGTAATTTAATAAATTATTTATAACAAATTTCAAACTTACCTTCAAAATGCCTTAAAAATAAGTGTATGTCAAACAACTCTGGTTGGAAGTATTTTAAACAGAAAGAAAATATCTTCGATACTTATTCTCAAAATATTGGGTCCTTCACGTTGTTGGGAAAATATTTCAAATGATTTAAATAATGTTGTTTCATCAAATATACATAAACTGTTGTAAACAAAATCAATTTGATATTCAAAACAACTAAATTTTCTATGAAAATGTTTGTGATTGAAAAACCTGATGCAACTATAAGTAGTTTATCTGATAATGATGAAAATAAACCACAAATTTGGAGTTCAATATAACTTTATCAGCACAGAATAAAACTTGTATGATTCCGAAAGAATGGCTTTTAAGAAATGATAAATAATGGGGTTCGAGTACGATGTCTAGATTACTTTTCAGTGGACGAATATTATTAATGACCATTTTGAACAAACTAAAAAGATTGTAGATGGTGTATAAGTATGCAAAATATATTGATAGAATGTTACCTAAAAATGTCACAATTAACTGTGGTGCTTGTCAAAGTATCTTTAAAACAACCTACAAAATCCTCCTGAACCAGATTCGTGTCATAATACAATGTTCTTACGTTGGATTATTTGAATATTCTAAGTGATTTAAAGTATTATTGGTAAAAAGTGAATTATAACAAACTTATTCAACAAAAATGTGTCAGCTTTTCATTCAAAAATGGAATCTAAAAGTCATGAACTATGGTGATCCTGGTAGCAGTTTACCTTCACTTAATGCTCTTAGGTATTAAAATATCAAAAGCGTCAAAGATAAAATTACATCAAGATTCTATAATGGCTTTGGCTACTTAAAGGTGCGCCGTTCAATCATATTATTCAAACATTGGTTGTGTATCATTTTTCGTAATGTGAAATTAACATATAGAATATTTACAAAGCAAAATAAAGTACCTAGAGTTTCGATTGACGTGACAGGTGGACTTGCGAGAAAACTAAACATGATCTGACAGAGAATCGCCAATTTTCTATATGAAATAAGTGTTATTGACTTTAAGAACAATGTCAGTTTACTGCAGCACACATGTTATTCGAGCGGCATTAATATCTCAGTTATTGGCTTACTGAAAGGTCAAGATATATAGTTTACCAAAATAGTAGTTACAGATTAAGTCTTTGGCTCTAATGATGGCTGTAGTAAAAGCATTACTCAATATTCTTCTCTATCAAACACTTAGCTGTGTGTTCGTCGTTAATATAGAAAGAATCGTTTGAAAATACCTACTTGTATGCTTGTAATGATTTTAACCACATAATGCATCTTATAAGTGGTGGTGCAAATTAAGTCTTGTAAATTTCAGATAAAAACTTTTACTTAAAGATCTATTGGTTTGTTGATCGCAAGTACAGATTTCTACGACATTAATATATATTACGAATATGTTATAGTAACTTTAAGTGAAGAACACAATTGAATTCTAATGATACTAACCCATGTCAAAAAGCTAAAAATTATTTAAAAAGGATAAGTACACATAATATTATGATAGATATTAATGAAATCAATGTATTACAACCTGATGATGATGCAGCTATAACAAGTAAGTACACTGATGACATTATCATTAATACCAGAAGATATAACTCAAAATAACATATTTAAAGAAATTCAGTCTGTTTATTGTGCAATAGTGATCGGACATATGTAACGTGTAACAAGCCGGAATGATTTAAATGCATTTCATAGAAAGTAATTTCAAGCAGAATTTTTGCAAACTATTGCCCATGTTGTTCCTTGGTCTTGATACCTATTTTTAAATAGATACATTGTGAATCGATTTAACTTCCGGCATCTTTAATGATTTAAGCAGAGTATTTCAACACAAAATATTGCCATAGAATAGATGAGTTTGTGAAGGTCATATCGGATTACAGGATCTGTAATTCTAATAGGAATTCTTCAAGTAAATGATCCAAGCAAAAATAAAGAGATAAACGACGAATTACACGACATCATTAGGTGAAAATCATTTGAAAATGTATATATATAAATTAGCGATTGAAGTGTATGGTCTGTTGAAGAATGTTTAAAATGATAATGAGTTTGAAAACGATTTTGCTTCAATAATAGGACTGTTATTATCTTCCAATCAAAGTAATTTTATATATATTATTTTAAATGATTTTCTTCAATTTTAATGATGTCATTATAATTCGTGGATTTATATTTTCTTTTATTTTTGTTTGGATAAACGACCGGTTTGGCTCAATATATTCATAGATGTGTGTAACGATATATTCTTCTAACTTTATATTCTAAGTAACCTTATTTGTGTTAATACTCTAGAAAGTGAAACTGAATTCAACTCAATAATATTGTTTAAAATAGACACTGACTTCTAACATGAACTTGCAAAAACATTTAGTATAATGCATTTAAATAAATCTCCGTAACTGTTATCTATGTCCAAACAATATTGTAGTAGTAATCTTTAAATAGTATTTTAATTGCTATCTTCTGTGTGATAATAATCAGTAACTGCATCATCATAAAGATTATATACGTGATAATATCTAATAACTATTATGCTATCCTTTTAAATAATTACAGCGATTAGTACTATAGTATTCTTCAAAACGCAAATCTATTCGTGTCTCCTCGGTAATAATCTGCTATCGGCACAAACCAATAGATGTAGTAAAGTTTTTGTCGAATTTACAGACAATTCAGACCAATACTATAAGATGCATTATAATGATTGGCCGACCTAGCTGCTAATGGTATTTCAAACATTCTTTCTACTAACGATGATTGCAACTAAGCAAATGAAAATATTGATAAATGCTGCTACAGCAATATTAAACCAGTCTCTTCTATTTTATTGTCTTCAATCTTATTGCTAAACAACCAACAACTGATGAGATGTTATCGTGCCGCTCGAATATTGTAGTGCTGGCTCCCAATTAAATCAACCAACACTATTTCATATGAAAAATTGGCGATATCTACCGAATATTTGAATTTTCTCAATTTCTCTTTGTCATGGTACTATTTTAGCACTATGTATTCTAGATGTTAATTCCGTTATTTATGCAAAAATCGTCAACAAACAGTATGCTCAATGAAGCAAAACCATTATGAACTCTTGATATGACCCTTCTTTGACGCTTTTAATCATACATACTCTAAGAGCGTGTGAGTAAACTGCTGAGTTCGAGATCTCTAATTCATGACTTTTAGGTACTGATGAAAAGCGACGCTATTTTCGCGAACAAGCTGTTAGCAATGTTCCGTGTCCAGTAAGTGACCATGTTTGCGTGGTGGTTCGGGAGATTTTTGTATTAAGCTTGCTAGCTAACGACAGCACCGGCTGCCAGGTGTGGTAAATATTTCATTGCTATATTTTGCATGCCCACTACGCCATCTTCTGATAACATTAACAACCATTAGAATCACTGAAAATGTCTGGCATCATTTCTCACTCGAAACCCCGACCATTTCCCATCATTTCTTTAAAAAGCCGTTGGCACTAGGAATCATATACGAGACTTTCCATTCTTGTGCTGACTAAAGAACCGCCATTGAGCTCCAGAACCTATGACCAGTTTATTTCATCATTATCGAATAAATCTTATAATTGTATCGAGTTTCAATTCACTGAAGCATTTCGAAAAATTTGGACCCCGTTTAATATCAGAATTGTTTGTTCTGACTTAAGTTCATGTTCATATTTTGATGACTGGCGACCATTTGTCATTTGATATTTTCCAGCAGGCGTGTGAAGAACCCAATGACACGAGAATAGTAATAATTTCTGTTTGTACTGCCATTTAAACTGCGGCAGAGACCCGTTTATTTTGGTGATATTAGTAACAACTTTATTTTCAAGCATTCGACTGCGTTATAACCAAAATAAAACGATGACGAGACAAGGTAAAAACTGATAATTTATCGAATGCGAAAATCTTTAAAAGCCCGTAACCAATAAATAAGTATTTAAAAATTTGTGTTCAGAAACCGGAAAAACAACTGACTGGTGTTGGCTGAGTTTCGTTGCAGTACAAACTTTGTCTGAAAACATTTATAGAATACAACTTTGTTGACGTTATATTTGGGTAACCTATAAACAATAAAAGTATTGATATTATCAATGGATAAAACAATGAAAACTCAAACGGTAAGTGATGTTTTAAACCAATATTTTTACTTGTCTGTAAACTTATGAAAATAACGCAGCCTACTACGAATAAGTTAAAACAAAACAAATAGTATGACCAAACATAAACGAAAATATCACGATTCCGACCAGGCATTATGAAATGACGGCAAGCTAATACGACATTAACATGTGTGCATTTTGTGTTGTCAGATGACAGTTACTGGAAAATATATTCTTCAGCAGTGAGCATAATTATTCTGTGTAAAACAAAATAAACGAAAAGTAATCTTAAAACAATGACCTCTTTTCGCTCAATGTATATAAAGTGACGATCGTAATGATGAATAAACGGTAATTTCGACCATTTAATTGACTGACAAAAATGAACTAGTGCATTTGGAAGAACATTGACGTTGTGCATTTATGTCGAATAATGCGATAAGAGCCGCGAAAGTCGCAGTTAATTCAACAATGACACGTCGTGAGGTGATCTGAAGCAACTTATAAATTTTCTGTTGAAATAACTATGTCGAATATTATGATAACAAACGTAATGCCAATATTGATGTCTGCTCAAATTAGTATATTATTGATGAGCAAATAACTGAGGCCAGTAATGGCGATATATAATGCACTATCTGAGCAACTGCGCCTCTCGACTGATC